TCTGTCCCAGTCTCTCTCTCTCTCTCTCTCTCTCTCTCTCTCTCTCTCTCTCTCTCTCTCTCTGGTGAGGGGGCCACATCGCTGCTAGGGCTTCTCATAAACGTATGTGATGTGTCATGCAATAGATGGAGCCTGCGATTCAATCGAATGTTAACGGCGTGGAGACATGCGCGATGGAGACCCAGGACATTGTGAAGGGTATCGCAGTTGTCAGCAACGAAGGGATATCGGCCGGAGCAAACACCACAGACTGTGCAGTGGTCATTGCGGCAATTTGTGAGCAGATTGCAGACATGATGACGGATGGTGAGGCCAGTGAGAATGATGCAGGGTATGTTGTTGCAAACGATAATGTGGTCAGGACGTCAGCAGAAACTCTCTTCCCCTATGACATCAATTGGGTGCCTGGTCGTCTTCAACCGGGTATCGTTGGAGGAGCATCGTGCTTCGCGTTCAAAGTCAATGGGGAATGGGTTCCATATCCCGCCCCCAAAGCGACGTCGTGGAGGGGCGTGACTCTGTCAATCATCTTCAACAGAGTGCTGAGGCTGAACGATGAGGTGAGCGCTGACGACAAATCGCCGCATGTGTTGAAACTGTGGTATGTTCTGGACGCGAAGGGCGAGTTGAGGCTCAATGATTTTGAGTACGACAGTGTCGACTGCGGAAAGTCATGGGTGATTGGCGGGTTGGACACTGCAGCGAGTTCGGTTTGCCCACAGACTGATGCCAGGAGGGATCCACGGTGGGGTTGGGTGCCACATGACGCCCCGCTTCTTTGTGGCCATGTGAAGGTGTCGATGCGTGATGCCATGGGGAATGTATGGACCACGTGTTATATAAACGGCAGCTTCTCATCTAGGCACCTGAATAGGGAGGTGACTGAAGAGGAGAAGATGGCGATGGCTTGTCCCACCCCTGCTGCTCGTTGTTTTTCGCCGCCTCTTCGGAACCCTGTGGAGCTCGAGGTGGCAGAGGGGAAAGTGTTCACGGGTGACCATGGGTACACATACACGCATGCCAGAGGGGAGGACGCTACTGCTAATGGAATAACTACGCTGGTATGGGACCCATTCAACCTGAACCCTGACGTTCTGGCTGCCATAGACATTGCGGCCCATGTCATCCCTGACGGGCAGTTGCAGCAGCATGTGGCCCCTCAGAAGTATGGATATCGTGTGAATTGGGTCCCAGGATGTCTGCAGCCGGCAACAGTTGATGGCAAGGTGACCATGGCAGCGAAACTGCAGACAGGCCATTAGCTGCCCTTGGGGTGGATGCATGCAGGCATGGTGGAGAGGTGACAGTTCCTGGTGGTAGTGACACGTGTCTCCATTTTCAATGCAGATGTGAAAGACCACGTGCTGGTTGTGGAGCATGCAAAGCGGTGCTGGGAGAAGATAAGGGAGGAGGACCGTCAGATGGTGTGCATGGGTTACGACTCCATGCCAGACCAGGGGATGTGGTCCATGGTTGAGGGGAGTCCTGGTGGACAAGGGCAGGGCGATGGCGAGAACAGGTACATGGCTGACATCCGCCGCAGGCATGGTTGCTCCGCCCTTGTTGGTTGGGTCCTGGCCGTATGTTGCATGACATACGAGCAAGGTGGAGAGATGATGATGAGGTTCAGGGACCCGCTTGGTGTGCCGTTTCTGCTGACGTACTCGGATGGCCTCCTGCGAGACATTCGGTATATGGTGGCCGAGGACACCCGAGGTGGACATCGGAGGCGGGGACAGACGGAGGAGACGCGCCCGGGACATCAGGACGGTTTGTCTGCTGAGGTGGAGGGCCCATGTGGCGGTGAGCGAGTTGCAGGGTGCTCTGCAGCGCAGGGTGACGTGGCCGGGCCCAGCAAGACAGTGATGTCCCACAGCCCGAGGAAGGTGAAGGCGGTTGTGTCGAGGCCGCGGAGGGGGAAGACGGCTGGTGACAAGCAAAAGAAGAACCCCCAGCCTGTGCCACAGACCGGTAACAATGCAGATGCGCCTGCACGGGTCCACAGACGCCGCAGACACCCCGGGATGGCAACTTTGACAGAGATCAGGAAGCTGCAACGATCCACCGACCTTTGTATCCCTTTCAGGCACTTCTTGCGCGTCGTCCGCGAGGTGGTGGAGAAGGACATTACCCCTAATAAGGGTCTGAGGTTCCAAATGACGGCTGTGCGTGCTTCAATGGAGGCTGTGGAGGCTTACGTGGTAGCCAACTTCGAGAACACAAACGAAGTGGCGATCCACTCGAAAAGGGTGACCATCCAGGTGAGGGATATGAGGCTGGTGGATAGGTTGACGAAGCCTCGCTAGGTGGAGAAATATCAGGAGATATTGGATGAGAGGGCTCGAGCTGAGGACAGGCAGCGACGGATGGATGCCAGACAGGCTGAGAGGGAAGGCCGGGGAGCAGGCGCGAAGAAAAGAAAGCCACGTAGGGGGGGTGGCGCAAGAAAGAAGGCTGCGTGAGAAACAGTGTGTGTGTGCTTCCGGAACGCTTGTCTTGTCTCTGTCTGTCATGCTTAGTCTTCGTGGTGTGAGGTGGGTTGATTAGGTGCAGATATATATATATATATATATATATATATATATATATATATATATATATATATATATATATATATATATATATATATATAGAGAGAGAGAGAGAGAGAGAGAGAGAGAGAGAGAGGACAAATGTTCGTGGTGTTAGGCGGGTTGATTAGTCTTCGTGGTGTAAGGCGTTTTTTTTTTTTTTTTTTTTTTTTTTTAATATCATTTTTGCCTTCTTCCTCTGTTTCTTTCTTGCTTTCTTTTTCTGGTGCGGGGATGATCGTCCCCCTGGTGGCCTCCGAACTTGAACGTGATGGCAGTTGTGTGTATTTTCATTGTCCCCCTGGTCTGTCTGTCGGTCGGTCAGTATGTCTGTATGTCTGTCTATTTGTCTGTCTGTCTGTCTGTCTGTCTGACTGTCTGTCTGTCTGTTCACAGGGTCCTGTCTGTCTGTAATTCTGTTTGTCTGTCTATTAGTCTGTCTGTGTTCCTGTCTGTCTGTCTGTCTGTTTGTCTGTCTGTCAGTCTGACTGTCAGTCTGTCTGTTTGTGTGTCTGTCTTTGAAAGCCGAGGGAAAGAAGGACAAGTGCCGGAAGAAATCGAGGGCCGAAAAGAAGCAGTCGAAAGAGCATCGCAGAAGCGGCGTCGGCCCCTCTGCGAAAACGGAGCATAAGCGCAGCCGCAAATCCGGATCGAAAGTTACAGTCCCTTCGAGTGCACGGGAGATTTCAACGCTGAAAGAACGTAACGAGTCGCCCCCCTCGACCCCCATCCGGGGAAAGCGCGAAAGCGGCGCCGAGAACCGTCCGCCAAGGGCCCCGAAAAAAAATTCGCGAGATGATAGAAGCGCGACTACGCACCGCAGAACAAAGAAGAGAATATCCTACAAAGACGACAAAACAGTGGAGACAATCGATATTAGAGGGTCTGACGACAGGCACAGCGGACCCCAAGTGGAAGAAGAGGAGGAACACGACCGTTCCGCGCCAGAGAAGTCAGATGGTGCGGAGGACGATGAGCCAGGAAACGAGGGAGACGACAGCGATTCTTCCCGCAGACAATCGCAAGACACCGATGAGGACGACGACAGCGACGGCAAGTCGGTCAGCGAGAGAACCGGCGAAGACCAGAGCGCCGCTTCGGAAAGAGGTGGTTCGCCATTTCCTTCGAGGACGCTGCGCAGAGAAGGAGAACGGCAGACACGCAATGGCAGCGACACCGAGGAGCGTGTCGGTGACAGACAAATCGTACAGCACGTCGGCGCCGCCGGAAAAGGTAAAACCCCCCCCGTCGCACTGACTCCCCTCCCACTCCGATCACATAATCCCGTGCCCCCACGCGGTGGACGCCTTTACGCACGGAGAAGTGTCTTTGTAAACGCACAACTGATAGCCGAATCTTCAATTATGCAAGTGCTGTATTCGAAACAAGGCGCTGAGTTGTTAACACTCTCCTGTGCGTTGTGTCTTCTGTTTCCCACCGATCGCAACGTCACGAACGAAAGTGCGCGCAAGCGGCGGAGCCGTGCAAGGACCGAAGGACGAGGGCGCCGCATTCGCGAAGAAAATGAAGGGCAAGCTGTTGCATTCCGTCGCCAAAGCCTTTGCGTTCTCTGCGGCAAACGACGCAACTCTGTACCCGACAGAGGACGCGTTTTTCGCGGAGGTGCAAGCGACGGCGAAACTGGCAGGGGAGACAGCAGAGGAAGGGCTGCGGTCTCACAAAGCAGAGTGCGGGATTCGAGCTGTCATAGGGGAATGCAACAGAATAATGACGACGATCCGCGGAGAGATTACATGGCAGCTGAAACATTGGTTTTGGGCTGAAAAAGAAATTCCGCTCGTCGGATCGCAGCAAACGGATCACCACCTCCCCGCTCGCAACAAGATGCGCACCGAGATGAAGGAGAACAAGATGTGGAGACGGAGCGACGACGATCCGTGGGGCGCCCCCGCCTTCAAGACGACACTCTTAAAAGTTTTTCAGATGAGAAAGGAAGGCCGGAACCTGGGCGTCACCCTGCAGCAACTGACTTTTGCGGAGATGGTCATTCAATGTGAGATAGAACAGACAACGAAGACGACACGAGCTGCGGAGCAGATAGAA